AATAATTGCTGCTTTTCAGGATACCGAAATTCATTATTGTCTTTATAAATGCTCGTCATGTGGCCCTTCGAGATTATATTTTAATTAAAATTCTATCTACTTTTGGTTTCTCCGAGAGTTATTACTCCCTATGAGATCTCAGCCAAAATGTCAGCACAGCTCACGCACGCACACATACACACACACACGCACATACGCACATGTACACTACGTGTACACTGCTTAATCTTGTACAATTATTATGAAATGTTTGGAGTGCCTAACAATTTTAGGAAATGTAAGATATTTGCGGGGTTTCATTATTTATTTTATATTTTCATAGGTATTTCATGTAATTATTAGGTACAGTATATCGTACCGAGACGTACGTATTTAGATTAAATGCTGGTTTCTGTTATGTATAGTTTATTTAATGACGCGCTTATAGCGTGGTATGATTGGACAATAGTAACAATGAATCGGAAATGAACAGCAGGAAGCGGCCCTGATCATATTTTAAGGAATTATCACGGCATTTGCCTGAATAGATCGAGGAAATTCACGTTACCGCTTAAGAAAACTTGCCTTGTATAAGGATTAATTAGGCGAGTACTTAAAATAAAAAGCCCACGAAATTATTGTGGGGTGCGCGGTAGAGTAGTGGACTCAGGCACAATGCTGCAAGCCGGAAGGTCTCGGGTTCGAGCCCCGGTGTTGGATTTTTCACCTGACCTAATGCTTCCAGCCACACTATGACCCTGGGGTTGACTCAGCCTCTAACAGAAATGTGTACCAGGAATTCTCCTGTGAGGGTAAAGGGCGGCCGGCGCATAAAACTGACAATCTCACCGCCATCTGTGGGCCTATTGTCCAGATAATGTGGGACCCTCAATGTCCCATAACCCTATGAGCCTCCATGACCTGTTACAGGGTTAGCTTTTTACGAAATTATTGGAAGAGCATCCCAAGTGTTGGTGTAGTTGTACTTTCTAGTGTTCTAGTAGATCGAAAACAATGGTTTAGGTTAGATTAGTTTATGTTAAGTCAGACGATTAAGGTTTTCAGGCTTGCTTGACACACTGAGTTTGTATTTAACAGACTGGCGATGTCGAGTCTGGCATTGTATGTAAAGGCTAGAGAACACAAGAAAGAAACACTTCACATGTTGACGTTTTGGAAAGTCTACACGATGTCTACCTATGGTACACAGTTCCTAACTCCGTGTTTTACCTATAGCTCATACGTAAGCTGTCGTTTCTTCTTTTATCAGGAATGTAATAGAGACTTCATGCTCTAATTCAGTGTTTATAACTGTTACCATCTTGAAATCAAAGAGCTAAAATTAGCTTAATTTTATTTTTTTTAGTAATGATGATATCAGCTCAGTTTACAACCGTAATAGCAGTGCATGATTTATTAATTCCTTCATCATTTACCAATAATTAGCCGCTAAGCCTTTGCAGCTTCCAAAGTGATATCTAAAAACCAATATTCATGAAACCCGGTGGGTTGGGGGGCATGCGGTTACGTCCTGGTTTAGGCACTAACCAAGCAAACGCTTCAAATCACTGAAGATATCACTAAATCTCAAGCTATCCAGACAACTATCAGATACATCACGAAGCCAATAGTTCCTGGTGCTGTCACGTCACTGGCCTCGAGAGACTGAGTTTAATTACGGCCGATATCAGAAAAACAGGCAAAGACTGGAATGAAGTAGGCCTAACTTCCAGGTGTTCTCTTTTTATTGCTAGTGGGGTGGGACTAAGTCCCTTGCACTGCGGCCAGTGCAAGGGATCAGCCCCAGATGATAGGTGAGGGTGATTGTGGTGCAATTGGTGGAATGAAAATTGGCATGGGAAACTGAAGTACTCGGAGAAAACCTGCCCCAGGGCCACTTTGTCCACCACAAATCCTACTTGAACAGACCCGGGATCGAACCCGTAACGCCGCGATGGGAAGCCAGCGACTAACCGTTTGAGCTATAGCGAGGCCCTTCCAAGTGTAACTGTAATTAATAAGCACTGAATCTAGACTGTAGCCGGTCACGGTAGCCGGGCGGTCTAAGGCATGTACTGTCTTCGCTATCTTGGAAACCGAGATCGTGGGTTCGAATCCCACTCATATTTAGTTTATGTGTGTGAGTTTTTCTGTGTTTGTGTACAGGTAGAGGCCTTGCGACGAGCTGATCACCCGCCCAAGGAGTTCTACCGAATGCGTTAAGATCTAGAAAAACCGAACTGAACGGAGAGTTTCATGGACGTAGGCCTAGGCCCACTGGGGCTGTAGTGCCAAGGAAAAAAAAAAATCTAGAGTGTTCATTCTTGTGTGCGTGCGCGCGCGTGTGTGTGTAGTAATGCTACAACGACAAAGCGTAATGATCGTCCCTAACTCTCTGGATGTTACAAATGAGACATGCGCTATTGCTTGGAAATAGTTCGTTACATCCTTCCTACATTCTGCATACGGTATTACCAGTAAAATGAAATGTTTCTTGCCATTTCTTAGCCCTTTAAGCTAATTATTGGCAGCATCGTTAAAAGGGAATGCTCATGATTTTCCAAGGAAATAACAAAAAAAAAAAATAAATAACGGTCCTGAAACTAAACATGTAAGCATCGAAAGAGTTAATCTCTGCTGATACATCTTAATTTTTCTTATTGCTCGTGGGGTGGGACTAAGTCCCTTGTACTGCGGCCACTTCTGACCTATTGTACCAGCCCCAGATGATAAGTGAGGGTGACTGTGGAGCAATTGGTGGAATGCAGATTGGCAGGGGAAACTGAAGTACTCGGAGAAAACCTGCCCCAATGCCACTTTGTCCACCACAAATCCCACTTGACCAGACCCTGGATCGAACCCGAGCCACCGCGGTTGGAAGCCAGCGACTAACCGCTTGAGCTATGGCGCGGCCCCTACAGCTTAATTTAGTTCAATTTTTCTTCTTCAGTAAAATTAATTTTCTCAAAGCCTTTTCACGAGTATGATATAAGTCAGAATTATTTTTATTTTTCTAAACACTTTGACTGGAAAGTGGGAGACAAAATTAACTACGGCTATCAACGGAGAGAGATATGGGAGTACAGGAATAAGACTTTTATGAAATTCCATTATCGATTATCTCATTCCACCTTTTAAAAAATCACAGAATTACCGTTTTTTTTTCAAGAAATAACCCTTCTTTTTATTTGGCTTTAGTGAAACTCTGCCGCATTCCTTGTGTTCATTTTTGCCCTAATAACCAAGTCAAGCCTGGGCGCTCAGTAGCTGAGGACACGGTTTCACAATATTAAATGGTTCCTTCATAACCGAACGTTAGTCACTGTTAATTGTAAATCATATAAAGCTTATAAATATTTTTACATAAAAGTATAAATGAGTTCCTTCTTCTAGGATGTAACTCCATGTAGCCCATCGAACATCAAACGATGTTTCGGAGGAATTTATCGCTTCTGTAACGTTGATTGACCTTCAAAAGACTAAACGGCGTTATGCCCCAGAAGACAGAACTCTTCGTGACCACTACTGTGAGAGGCTCAAATCCTATAAAAGTAGATTTACAAAGGGCAGTTGTATCGTCAAGCTATGCTGGTGGTAGTATAAGTTTCTGATAGGGCCATCCATGCCAGGCAGGTCAAAAGGTAAGGCCCAGATGAAGTGTAGTCCTGGTCCTCCAAGTTGAGGTTTGGGAGTGGGACTTCAGCCCGACCACAGAAAACTTTACTGTTACGAAACCTTGGAGTAGGCCAAGACCCACACAGGGTTGTAGCGCCAGTAAAAAGAAAGGAAACGAAGAAGAGCAATTTGTATTATCATAGGTACAACTGTGAATTTAGGGAAAAAAACAAACAAAAAAATCTCCGTGGCTTTCGTCTGCAAGCAAAACTATAGCGACCGAGCGACCGTCGCTTGTCGGCAAAGTTAGTGCCAACTTTAGCTGACAGAGGGTGTCGCGTGGTCAGCGTAACTAATTCCAACGGCCATTAATTTCGGTTTTCTAGACCGGAGCCGCTACTTTTCCATTCAACTAGATCCTCAGTTATCCTCACGAGGCTAAGTGGATCACGTTCCAGACTCACTACTTCTCAGAAAACCTGGTAGCGCCGATAATCGAACCCGGGACCTCTGGATCTGTAGCCAGGAACTCTGACCACTAGACCTGTAATTTAGGGACTGTTATTTTAAATACTAGACTTCTTTTAATTCGCTTAGTGGGAGGTGGAGTCCAACTGGGTCCAATCGGCACGGCGGCCACTGATTGGCCTATTGTAGTCTGTCCCGGGTGATTATGATGGAGAATTTGGTGGAATGAAGATTGGCAGGCGAAACCGAAGTACTCGGAGAAAACCCGCCCCAGCGCCACTTTGTCCTCCAGAAATCCCACTTGATCAGACACGGGATCGAACCTGGGCCACCGCAGTGGGAAGCCAGCGACTAACCGCTTGAGCTATGGCGCGGCCGTAAACACTAGACTTCGTTAAGTTTCATGTAATTTGCTCTTCACTCTATATTTCTGCACCATAATTTTCTCTTACGTGTAACTGTCGAAGTTAGTGGTCGTGTTAACGCCTACGGCGGTTCCGAACTCTTTTACAGAAATATCTCTTGTCATTATTTCTTACATAAGGTGCTGGAAAATCAATAACTTTATTGTTGCATCATAGACGTCCTTATTCTTTCTGACTGGCATCTGTGCTATACAATATCGCAATAAGTAAGTAAATAAATAAACTGTCAAAACACTACATATCAGAGTCGTTTAGAAACGTCGTTTGCTAAGAATTTCAAGTAATGTACCGAAATCTCAGAAGTCAATTGTTACGTTATAAGAATCATGACAGCTTATGAATGTGTCTTGAAATAACACGCTAGAAGACTAGCCACTTACTGCGCAGGACAGGAACCATGCAACAGCTTCTCAGCGACGGACGGACATTTCTATAGGCGATTTCGCTACCTAGCGCTGCGGTGGAAGTAGCGCCTACTGCAGCTAGGCAACAAAGATACGTGACAGGCGCGTGCGAATTAAACAGTTCATAATTCCTCGAGTGGTCAACGGGATGCCTCTGAAATATGTTGCGACAGTGTGTCAGGTTAGACCTGCAGTTGGAGCTCAAACAAGGTAAACTAATCTGTAAGCAATTTCAATTGTGAGCTGTATTTAAGGTAGTTTTGCTAAAATAAGTATGTTGTAATCGACCCCAGCGGTCAAGTTCATGGGAATCTGCATATTTAAACGTTCAGCCAATGTGCCAATACCACATTTTGATTTTTGTGTGTGAAGAATGAAGTTACGTTAGTGGAATTCCTAAATTCAAATTTCACTGCTATACGTTCTCTCTACACTCACTGCGGAAGCTCAATGCGGCATTCATTAGGCTGAAAGAGAAGTACCAATATTATATTCTATACTTACGATTTTACTGCACTCTGACAATACTTATGTTGAAGAAAGCAGTCTTCTGGGATGTGGCGCCGTGTAGATGTGGTGTTAACCGACGGTCCGGCGGAATGTATCGCCTCCATCTTCAGGGTAGAAGGAAAAATAAGAAAATCCGAAATCGAAGAAACAGTGAGAAGAGGTGCAAGCAGACTAATGTCGGAAATAAACTCAGCTGAATTTGCGGATTTTCTTATTTTTCCTTCTACCCTGAAGATGGAGGCGATACGTTCCTCCGAAACGTCGGTTAACACCACATTTACACGGCGCCACACCCAAGAAGACTGCTTTCTTCATAGTCACCGCCGAGAAATCCTCAAATCTTAACACTACTTAGTTGTTCATACGAACTGGAGATGCAAGAAGAGTAGCACATTAAGGTTTGAATGTGGTAGTGCCATGAAACAAACACAATACTCTACATAAAAAGGTAAACTTTTTCCTATACTTAACTAATTAAGCACTGCGCCATGAAGGTATGTGGGTGAATGGATGTATACCTGTATGTCCAGGTTTTCTTGACCTCGGCACTAGTTGGAGATGAGTTGTCAGTTTCACGTCTCTACCGCTTTACCCTCTGGGAAAGAGCCCCAGATACCAATTGGATAGGAGATTGGGTGAACCCCAGGGCCTGTGAGGATGAAGTGGAGAGGCCCTACCGGGACTTGAACTCCGAACCCTCGGTCGTTCAGCCAGTAGCCAGTCGCTATACCGACAGCGCTATCTTAACAAATCGAAACAAAGTCATAAGTCATATTGACAATTGTTACATGACAAACCGTAATAGAAGATATGTTCAAGTGAAACTTTAATGTCTGTTAGCAAAATAAAATTATGCCGCAGTAACGGGTGATGCGGTCCCTGTGCTTCAGTACCTAGATATGAGGTATTTTACTTCGAATTGAAAGCTTCTAAACTATAAATGGCACTTTTCAAAGTTGCGGCGCTTACGGCACAGTTTGCAAAGTCTGTGCATCTTATGCTTTAACTCATTTATCTTATCTTCATTGTCGTGAATGATAAGAATGTACTGGTAGACATTTGATTAATTGGGGTAAGTGTCTCTACTACAACCGGCAACATACATAACATGCATCCTGCGCGTTAGCTTCATTGAAGAACGAAGTTACATGCAGCAAAACGGAAAGAAAGAGCCATTTTCCTTTCCAGCAAAATGGAACTTAATACTTTGCTTTTAGAGACTCTACATAAATTTAGTTAATATTTAAATTCGCATATTCTCAACACTGACTTGCTAAGTATAGCATTTAGATGAAACAAGAGCGTTAGCAACACACTTCAGAAAAGGATTTACATTTTTCTCAAAGTAGGAAAATTAACAGTGGTGTTCGAACTAGTGAGCTCCCAGAGAGATACACTTATCTTTATCATGCTGCAAAGTCTCATATCAATCACAGATAGCTTTCAGAATGTAATCAAAAAATTAAAAATCGATCAATTAAATTATTCTGTTCAGTAATCTGCACTGAGCCCACAACTTGAGGACGTGTATATAGGCCCAGGGAACAGAGTGTCTGAACCATGAACCATCTCTACTTCTTTTTATCCTTGAAAATTAAGGGGGGCACGCGGTAGCACAGTTGGTTTAGGCACTATGCTACAAGCCGGAAGGTTGCGGGTTCGAATCATGATGTGGATTTCTTCAATTGACCTAATTCTTCCAGCCACACTATGGCCCTAGAGTCGACACATGCCGCTATGGACTGCTCTAAATTACTCTTAAGTAGGAATGTGTTCAGCAATAGGAACGATTATATGATGGAATGGGATGGATTGGATTGATCTGGCTCAGGATATGGACCAGTGGGGGGCTCTTGTGAACACGGTAATTAACTTTCCGGTTTCATAAAACTCTGGGAATGTCGTGAGTAGATACACAATTGGCGGCTTCTCAAAAAGGGCTCAGCTCCATTAGTAAGTGAGTGAGTGAGAAAATAGGAACGGTGAAGGCGGTGGTGATGTTGATGATGATGTTGATGATGATAATGATGATGATGATAATAAAGACGACAACATAAGAACTACGGAAAATTTCTGTTTGGCTGACGTTCAAGACTTTCTCTCCCTCTCTTTCTTTTGGACACTAAACTTTATTGTCTTCTCTTTGAAAATATTTATTTCTCAGGACCGGAATTCGAAACATTTACATAGCATAAAAATTATGCAGCAGTGTAACCTAATAGTCCACACGTTATGAAGTCAAGTACCACGTCACGCGGGGGCATGACTCGCACACTAATATTCAAGTACGTTACGTAGCCTACGCCATATTTAAAGGGCATTACATAATTTCTTGCATAATTTTTACTGAATGTCGTAATTAGATTTATATTACAAAGTAAATAACGCTACTGTAAGGTGATGCCCGATAGATATGATTGGATTTTAGTTAATCAAAGTACTAATTATGGCTCTCTGGAAAAGTGACGAAAGATCTTTATTTTGTTCATTGTTCAGTGAATTGCGGTCATATCCATTAGTCTCTATGAAGATATCAGCAGCCGTATGACTTATTTAAGACTCTAATGGACATTTATTTTCAAAATATCTGGGTAAGATGAATTTGCTAATTTTAATTCATATTTTAATGTGACATCGCATTTCGTAGTATCATATTTAAAAATGAATAAAAACCATCATCACCTTATCCAACCATCCTAATATAAAAATGAACCCATTAGTTAAGGGTGAGTTAATCTTGCACCAGACATCCAAGTAGAGGCGATGTTTATATACTTACATGTGTGAAAAAATGAGCTAGATTTATAACAATTTCAGTCATGAAGAGTAAGTATGAATTCACTGCATGAAATCATAGAAGAGTTAGTGAGAACGGTACTTATAACCCGCTAAACCTTTTCTTCTATATTAAAGAAATATTCTACAGCAAAATGTCTGTTAATGTGGATAGACATGAATGACATTAGATTCCTACCGACGTGTTGTGCGCCTATGCAACTCTTACACCGACAGCCTATGATGACCGCTGTTCGGAGTGGCCGTCAAAAACATTACGTAATTCCGCGTGGGTTCATAAGTAATACTCAAAAGCAGTATATTCTAATGGTAGGTTATTTAGCGCGTGTCTGACGGTTCTTAAATACTACTGTGAAACTTCGTCTCTTATCCTAAGGGAGGAGCAATGATTGGTGCGGCCGTGCCATAGTTCTGGCGGTTAGTTGCAGGGTTCCCACCACGGCGGTCCGGGTTCGATCCCAGCTGAGGTTATGCAACATCTGTGGTGTAAAGTGATAATGTAGCAGCTATTCCCCGAGTGCTTCGGTTTTCCCTGCTAATTCTCATTCCATCAACTGCTCCACTTTCATTAATGATTGTATCATCGACTCACTACAATCCCGATACTGACAACGTCGTTCAAGAAGAAAAAGCGTTGAAGGTGTGCGAGAATATGGCTCTGGCAGAAATATTTGGATCTCTGACAGAGAAAGCCACAGGAGAGTAGAGAAAATTGAATAATGAGGAACTTCAGCATTTGTGTCCTTTGTTAAATTTTATTATTGATCAAATTATGGAAGATGAAATAGATGGTAAATTAATATTGTCACTATTTAGGGGTGACTGTAAACGGGGTGTGGCTTGTTGAATGGATTTATTGACCACTTATACACATCACTCAGAACTACAAGTATTTACAGCGCTATCGGTGATCTGCACACTTTTCAAATCACTACACGCTAAATATTCTCCAGTCTGCAATATATCAAACAGCCGTTCCCTAGTAACGGCTTCTAAGAGTGAAAATTCTTCAGCTTCCGGCACCAGGGTTCTATTTTCACAGCCTTCGGTGCAGAACTCAACACTCAACTGACAACTAACTCCCAGGCTACCGGCTATTTCATACCAGTCTCCTGGTCTTCTCTTCACAGGCCGACTTTCAAAGCATTCTCTGCCAGCTGAAAACTAACTTGGTCACCCCAGTTGTCTTCAAGATAACTTCTCGGCATAGACCATATAGAAAACACTTCGGTTTCCAATGTTGTAGTCCAACTGTTGCAGCTGAGCAGCAACCAGTTGCATAGCAACGGCTCTTCTCTCGTTGTTTGTTTCGAGGTCTTTTCCTGTAAACGGGGCTATAAGCCACAATATACTATATGTAGAAATGAAAAATGCAAGCTGAAATTTAATTTGGAAGCCTGAGGTTAAGAACCCAGTTCAGAGACTTAGGCGCTGATGATCTACTACAGTTAAATGGAATATATATATATATATATATGGGGGTTTGAACTGAATTTAACTTGCTCAAGTTAGACTTTTTGTAATAGAGCAATAAATCTCCTGGTTCCATAAAATCAGCGAAATTATTGTCCATTTAAATGACTATCATCCTTAAGAAGGATGTCTGTTCCGTGGGGTCAGTTAACATATTTAGTGACGTTGTATTAACTTTATTTGGAATGAATATGTCGAGTTGACTATTAGCCTACTCGTATGTGCAGCAAATTTTAAAAGGATGAAAAAGAAAACGCGGTCATGACCAATGTTAGGAAGAGTCGAAACATGTAATAATGAATACGAATTACGCAGGTTAATCTTCATAATTATGCAGTGCACATAGGTATTAATTGATCTACTGTAAGTTATTACGTTATTGTATATGTACATCTTTTGTTGAAAGCTCAGAAAAAATATATAGGTAAAAGTCAAACGTGTGCCTATGCTTAAGTAGTTAAGCACTATGTCATGAAGACATAAGAGGGAGTAGAGGTATAGCTCCACCATTCTTGACCTCGACATTAGATGGACATGAGTCGTAAGCTTCAGGCCACTGCCGCTTTACCCCCAGAAAAACAGCCCGCGGTACCATTTGGATAGGAGAATTAGTGGGCCCCAGAGCCGGTGTGAACATTATGGAGAAGATAAAAATCTTGCTCTTGCAGGAAAACGAACCTAGGTCGTCCAGCCCACAGCGACACCGACTGAGCTATTCTGACTTTTCAGAAAAATTACATACATAAATCTGTATTTGTTATTTTAACGAAAGTAGGCTCATCTTAGTAACAGGGGAGCTGAGAAACTTAGGTAAGTATTTCGTGTCAATCTGGTTGGGTTCAAGTCGGTCTCAAAAGTCAATACCGCAGCGCTTCTAATTTAAAATATAAGTCACAAGAAATAATAGAGTTAAAAAAATAATAAGGAAACATAACATGATGTCTGTAAATTTTAACCACTTTACGTTCCAACTGGGTTGTGTATGTGTAGCTTTCTATATCAGTTTTATTTCAGAACTTCACCTGAAATACCAACTTCACAGGAAAATAAATACCCCAAGGAATAAGGTCAGCTCAAAGACCATAGTAATGATTGCTTCATGTATCACGCAGATTCTGAACACGCATGAAGTTTCCCCTTTCTTTACTACTACAATAAAAACATGTGCTTTCTTTTATGCCTTTCTCCCTTTGTTGGACGGCACGATTGTGTCAAAATCACATTTGAGAGCCATTCCATTTTTTTTTAAAGATAACGTAAAAACTTCCGTAAAATATAAGAGGCCTTTTAAATGGGCAAGCGGCTACATTAAAGTTGAATGTGTAAAGAATATTCTCAGCTCTTCCATTAATACGATAGGCCTATACGTTCTGTACTTGTGTACTGTATTGCACTGCTGTTGTCGTCTCCAGTTCGTTCGGACATTCCCTGCTGAATTTAGAAAACTTAGGAGAATTTTGTGAGGACCGACATTTGAGATTGTTAAATTTATGCTTCGGTTCCCTTGCATGTACGCGCACTGGATTTCATTGATCTGCATAATGCTTATTATCTTATTAGCATAATTGTCCTTCATAAGATCTGAGTGCATTTTAATTTAATTTATCTTAGTATGAAAATATGCCCTGATAAAGAAGATGTTAAGTGTTGCAATGCAAAAATTATAAAGACCAATTATGGCTTACTATTTTCAATAAATATATTCTTAAATTTTACGAATGTCGAACTAAACTTAGGATACTATTCAGAGTAATTTCTAACTACGTCAATCATCATGATGAACATCGACATCATAATGGTCAGTAACAGCAACATGGGCTGTTGTCGTCACCATAATCACCATAACTTTCAGAATAAGAGGAATCATATGGCAGTGACTTCCACATTCCTGTCCCTCATACTCGTCTGTTCTTTTATGTCCTTCGTTGCTATGATCCTTCGTCGTGGTTTCGTTCTTCATAAGGAATTTAAAATATGAAGGGTTCGGCTAGAACTCATAAAGCTTAAATTCCTACTGCAGTAAATTATACCCATGATTCCCGTGGAACTCGGCACCAAGAATGGCTGTGCTGGCGAAACCAGCAGTAATTTACTCGACCGAACTCACTTCTTGGCCAACAAACTTTCCCGCTAGCAAAATAGACTGGATTGTATATAGTGACCCAGTCTCCAACAGAAATAAGTACGAGGAATATTCCTGGGAGTAAAGGGCGGCCGGAGCATATGGCTGACAACCTTACCGCCATCTGTGAGCCAGTTGACTAGAGAAAATGTGGGATCCTCGAAGTCTCACAACCTTATGGGTCCTCACGGCCTGTTAGAAGGATAGTTTAGATTTGCACCCCAACAGTAAAATTCGATTTCGTCCCCGACCTCGTCCGCAGATGTTCAGAAAGTTTATGGGATACTTTGCGACACTAAGATCATCAAGACATAGGCTTAATATAGCGTCAAATGGTATATATATATTTAAATGATTTGGAAGTATGTGATCGTAGCCCAATTGAAGTGCTGTCCGGAACTGGCCTGGAGGGTCTGAGGAAAACAGGAAAATCTTCAGCCAGAACAGGCTGTATCTCAACCAAGATTCGAATCTAGAACCTCCCGAACGCATGTCAAAAGAGTTACCGCTATGCCATCCTACCAGGTGGTGACTTAGTATTTCTTGCAACTGTAAATATTTATTATTATTATTGCCAATGTTGTATTTTTAGAAGAGCATTTTTATCATGTATAAGCTCAAAGTTCCGCATGGACGCCATGTTTATAATTATTACTTGAAAACAATACTTCAAACAGAATATGTATGCTTAAGTTCAGTCTTCCTATACAGCTTCACATGCCTAGCGAAAATAGTTCATTAGTCAGTCACGTTATATTACCAGTCATAATTCCTGGCCCCCTTATTAAGTGAGAGTGATGTAAATTCCACCTCACAAGCTCGTGGATCCGCCATGTTGTAATTATAGATGGCAGGAATTTAAAATATGTGAAATAGGGATACTCCCTAATGACATTTCGCTCATACTGCGTTTCGTGAAATTCGGTCAACGTCTTCAAATCTGAACTGGGAGACACGCATGCGCATACACAGACAGCGAGGTGATCTCGAAAGTTCACTTTTCTTTTTCATTAAAGAAAGAGAACAGACCAAAAGTTTAGGTGTCCGATCGTTTTTGCTAACCTAATTTGCAATATGCTACTAATATTTTTTTATTCGTACTAAATTAATATAAGTAGCTACTTTATAGCAATTTTTAAAGAGCAGGAAATGAATAAAGAATAATCAGACATGGAAGCCAGTCGATGTACGTTTCCTTGCTTGGGGAAAACGTTGTTCTTAAAATTGGGGGACACGAAGAAAGTAGTTACTCTAAGTGTCTGACGATTGTAGTTAATAATCTAATGTTCTCGATACTATTGTATCGTTCGATAGCACTTCTACATACTTCCACATCTTCTATACTTATCCTACAGAAAGCCTTTGAGCCACATTTACCTAAACCGTTTTAACGTAATGAAGAGGGCGGCAGGAAGGATAGAATGAAGGGGAGGGAACGACGATGGAATAGACAAATAAGAAGTTGAAGGAATACGGAAGAAACTCGAGGAGGACATAAAATTACGAAAGGGCTAATGGGGAGAAAAGAAAATGGGCCAGATGAAGGTACGAAGGAAATGTTCTCCTAGAAGCTCAACAGGCGGAAGCGCTGTGACGTCATGGCCAGATTACGGGATATAAACTTGTCTTACATGAAGACAATTTGAGCCGAAATCTTCTGCAGAAATTCTACTCGACTTATATATCAGAGAGAGCAAAGAGGGATTTCAGTACAGTTAAAAACAAAAGGTCACTTCAATAGTTCTAAATCAGTGGTTCTCAAATTTTTTCGGGCCACCGCCCCCTCGATTAAAAAAAAAAGCATCCCCAGTACCCCCGCCTTAGCCTATAAAAATCATTCTTCAAAACAGAGGTTCGCATAACCCGCTAAGGAAGATAATAACAATAATATAAGGTGCCACATTTGGGAACTACTTCATTCTTAGTAAATTCTTAATGCGATGGATGGGCTTGATGAAGTGATGCCAGTTTCCCAGCGTCTGGTCTAAATCACTTCAATCATAAATACGAGAACAATGCGCTAGGAGGTGGCCCACCTCCAGGGGCTTCTGACGCCCCCTTGTCTCTTAGCGTTCCAGTAGATAATCCCACCGACCCCCCACGGGGCGGTAGAGCCCACTTTGAGAACCACTGTTGTAAATGGTGAGTTGCCAGTGTTACATAGCACATATTTCATAAAAATATTCAGATCAGATGAGTGACTCTTTATTCTCCTAAATTTTAAACCCCTACTTTTGATAATAACTGTCATTACAGAAAAATCTGTGATGTAGTCGCTAACCACAGGTCTACCTCAAATCATATTACATGTACATTGAGGGTAGAAATCTTTACAAAAAAAAACTCTTGCCGTAAATGTACTCTTATATACACGAGATGGATTAGCAATTTTAGGCAAAAGGGGCAACTCTAACATTCATCGCAGTCATGTGAAGACACACTTGGTAGATTAACAATTTCCTCTGTGGCTATAATAATGAATCGAATTATTAAATACTGTTGTTTCGTGTATTTTCAGGTTATTTTGTTGACTCAAAATTTTGAAGAATCCACACAAGATTCCAGTTTCAACTTATAATGTGAGGATACAGCCAAGGAGCGAGGGGAACAAGAAGGAGTGGCCTACGTGCTATCAGGTGGCACATGCCTTTCGCGAATAAAGAAGAAAGCCTTTTCTGTTGTGTACTCAACTTTTTCCAAAAGAGGATTGAAAAGATAAAAAAAGAAAGAAATGAAAATAAGTAAAAAGCAACCAATCCATCATGTGGACACTGGACATCTCATAGTGTAAGACGAGGTTTCCGATTGGCTACAGGGATCCACCCACCATTATATCACGTGACGGAGAGAGAGAGAGAGATAGTTCCCCTTGCTGTATCACAATCACAGGATCGTTCTTTTCTCTCTCACACGTACTAGAACTTGCTGTCAATGGTGTAACACAGCCCGACCAGTCAGACAGAGAAAACAGCTGCCCGCTGCGTGATGTTACTACGGCGCTCTGGACTGCAATATCATTGTAAAGTGACGTAAGTGATTACTTTGAAATAATCGGTATGGACTATGTGATTTTGAGTGTGCATGCACAGCACTGAAGTGAACTCTCTTGACAATTTCATAGGCACTTATAGTGCAGTGACTGCAAAGTAAGACACCGCATTAATAGGCTACATTCAAGGTTAAGCATTTACAGTTGCAAAAGCATGAAAGAAACTGCATTGTTAGAAGACAGACGCTAATATTTCCGTAAAGCATTAGCTTCACCAAGACTTGGGTTACCGTTTTGTGTGCATTGTTAATAAGTGCGGACAACTAAAATATATTTAGAAAAATAAGCATGGAAGGAACATTTATACTAATAACAGAAGCAATGAATGAATTATTTTCTTGCAACATCCATATAAAACGTAGTCCTGTTTCTCAAAGAATTGTTAATGGTCACGATAACTGGAACTACTAGGCCCCTTACACATCCACACACACGAGGCCGAGCATTCAAAACAAATATTGATTCTTTTAATTAAGCCAACGGCGCGTGCTAAGAGACAGACAAGTGTTAGCATGCAATGGGACTTCGAATACAACGCAAAGCGTGGGAATGAATTATTCATAATCAACAGTATATGCGCTTCATTGTAGCACAGCAAATATTTATCAAACAACGTCACCAAAGGCCATACCACAAATTAAGAGACATTTCCTTTAATACAGGCAAACTGTTTCAGGTGGAGCAAACACAGCAACAACAGTATTATGTGATAAATGTTGCGATGAATTGTAGAATAATGAAGTGAAAGCCCTCTGCAAATAATAATAAAAACATTTCCAAAATTCAGCACATTTTTAATACGCGAAACCTACAGGAACTAGCACACGGCTGTTATCGGGGTTTGCAATTTAACTCAACGAACAGAATGCGGAATTTAATATCCAATATAATAAGTCCGGCGTACAGTATATTTCTGCGCACGAATAAACTGATTTAATTATTTTATCGCAAAAATGATGATGATGAACATTGGTATGTACGGAATGTGTAACACAACTGACACCTTCAGTAGCTACCACCAAGTTGGGTCCAACAATAATCACCATAATCACCACAACAATCACCACCTGCATCATCACGGAACTTCAGTTATTCATCATTACAGCTCTTCCTCTGAGATTGCTCCATCCTATTCTTCAGCGACAGCCACTACACCTCCAGAGCATCACTTCCACCACCACCCAGCGTCTTACTACACCACCCAGGTATCGGTCGACACTTACGACCCATCACCTAACGCAAATAACCAGGGTCTGCACAGCAACGAAGCCTGCAACAATGAACAAAGTTCACCTCCCCCAACAGCAACGCAAACAAATGAAAACATCGGTCCGACACCTACGTCTTATTACAATACCAATTCTGGTTCGTTGCATCAGCATCAGCAGCACGCACAGGACACGTCACAGGGGCCACCACAGCAGCAAGACGCCAATGTGATAATCACTTCTGACAATGGACTTAGTTATACGAATCTGGACTATGGGGCATCAAATACCCAAGCAAATTATCACCATCCACATCACCACAACACAATGACACCATCTCTCTCCACGGATCACCATCCAGTTCTCTATCCTTCAACAACCATCAACTACGTCAACAAAAATCATCACCATCACGAAGAAATGGTTCATCAAGAGAGTCATCAGCACGAAGAAATGCTATCACACCACGTCAGTCATCACCAACAGCACCAACAGGAGGGGTATAATGTCAGTGGAAGTCATTATATGCATCACTCTGCTACATCTCCAGGCACACCAGAAGCTGCTCAGTACTCTCCAGTTCTGAGTCAGCACCATCAGAGTCCACCTCCAATATCTGCAGAGTATCATGCAATTCATCATCGCCATTACAAGGAGGAACCTTGTCATCAGTTGCTATCAGAGATGCATCAACACCAAATGCATTCTGCAAGCACGGCAGTTGGTGCGGGGAACGGTACTGTGATGATGGCAACACCTGGGAGTGCAGGGAATTTCCATCATCATTCATTGCATCATCATCACATGCATCACCAGACTCCCGGACATCACCATCATCACCATCACCACCACCTGGCGCAACAGCAGCAGCAACAGCAGACAACAACGGCGGTGCCCACATACAAGTGGATGCAGGTCAAGAGAAACGTCCCGAAACCTGCAGGTAGGTGCTTATTTTGGAAGCGGTTGTAGTTACTCCAGTTGTTTGTTAAGTCGCAATCTGGACCTATTCACAATCTTGAATGAAAATAAAACTACCGCCCGTATTTACCTATTAAAGGTACATCTGTCGTATGCTTCAGTGACGTAGAATTGTTTCTTGCTTACTGATGAAAATGAGTGAAGTGGCTGGAACTTCTTATGAGTCCTACTCGATTAGGAAGAATGTGGTTAAAAGCCGAATTCCACATGCATGTTGGTTTTCTCTTGCAAAGTCTCGTTAATCTTTCAATAATTTGCGCACATATAATCATTCCAAATTATTGTGGAAGTACTTATTATGTCCAGATTTCATTGCTCATAGAACTATTATTTTAAGAGACACGTAACGGGAAGAATGCGGGGAATCTGAACTTGCGATCAATTGGCCTACTTTACTTTCAGGGGGACTCGGCTTCGGAACAAGAACACACCGTCATTTTGTAGTACAGATCGTGAGTGAGGACATAATAAAAATAAATACACATATAAAAAGTGTAATACACTCAACATTGGCGTGTGTGGTGCATTTTGTAGTTCCACAGTATTGGGATTATAGACATCAATTCCGGTTATCTTTAACCGTTAACTTGCATTGGTACTCTTAATTGGAATTCTGTTCTAAATGTTCAGAAAGCGAATATATCAGGGCATAAAGAGAATGGTGACACTTGATATTCGAATCAATGTTACTTTTTCATAATCTTATGCCCACCACGCACAGTAAGTTTTGCAATGCATTTGTTTCTCGCGCATAACTCTTAGATGTTTTTATGAAGTATCATCATTTGAAGTTCCTTTGCTAAGATACAATGACGCCTCAACCAGAATTCACAGGCACACACACACACACGCGCGCAAAAACATACATAATTACTAAGTAGAGTTCCAAATTATTTTGGGAACATCAACCGTGATATTTTCATGGGTTAGTTAGAGTACCTAGGAAAGATTCGTTGTCTTCTAAAGCTGGCTGCAAATTTTGTAGAGGCTCTTAAATATTCACTTTAGACCCATAGAAAATACTTAATACGACGTAACTCCCGAGATATAGTTAACACACTCTGTGACAGCACGTCTAACTTATAATCCAAGTGCTTAGCAACTTTAATACCTAAATCCGGTTTTGGCTATGGTCCCGAACCAGTTCCAACCATCCTCACAACCTCTATCCCTAGCATCCATTTCAGTCTCCTTGTTCTTCCAAACGACGACATTGCAAAGGAATTTCATAGCTCTGCATCATACTTGCACTCCCACAATAAAATAATAACTTAATTTCACTGTCTTAAAAGCGCTCACCTAAATTAGGAAGTTTGCCCTTTTTGCCCTCCGTTACCCACTCATTTATGCTGCTTACGCCCTAATAATTAGTAATTTATTGGTTATTCTTCTGTCAAAGTAAGGGAACATTTTTCTTAAAATGGAAAGTAATAAAGTGGCCGAAGTATTTCTCTCAATATATTCTTCTCTGGAATAACCCGATCAGTAGTCACTGGCTACGGACTGAACGACCGTGATTCGATTCTAGCAGGGACAGAAAATTTATTTTCTTCACCATGAGGTTCATACGGCCTCTGGGTACACCCAGCCACTTATCTAATGGGTACAAAAAGGCCGCGGGTAGGCATGAGGCTGAACATGCATCTCCAGTTATTGCAACTGTTATAACACGCGAAACTGTATCTCGACTGTTCCATATAGACGTATATTCATGATGTGGTTCTTAGAGACAGAAACAAATTTTTTTAATCTTAGAAGTTCATTTTTTTGTTTTCCTATATTACTGGCAATTGCTTTGTTGCAGAATTCTCTTTCGTGTCATGCTAATAGATTTGGTTTAGTCTGTACTTAGGTCGACATCAGTTGATCTCTCAGTTTCCGCTTTAATTTCGAATTGTTTATATTCTTATATAACAAACTGCGATCAGCGCCATAAGCAAGTAAGCTTACTTGATTCAAACTAAACTCTATCAATCCTCTCTGTTTCCTCTAGACTTTCCTGGTAGTAATTTATAGAGGAAATTTGAAAATCCAGCGGGCATAATGGACCCCCTTCTCCGAGAATTACGAAAACTGAAGTTATTATAGTATACCCCTATTGCTGCGTTGTGTGCAAAAAGATACTTTCCACCGTAAATGAATGAGAGTATTAATATATGTAAATAAATTTGGATTGGAGTTACTCTGATATTTTCTCTCATATTTGAATGTATCCTGAGATTATTGCATACTTCACAGTGACCGAAATTTATCGTTAATTCCACATAAATTTATGAATAAAACGTTTGTCTGCCCCTCAGGGTGTTACAGAAGCCTAGGTTTCAAGAACAGTTTGTAACAAAATTAGTAATCACTGTAATGTGACCAAGAGTTGTGAAACACGTTACAATACAGGTAGAAAGCTTTCAGCAATTTAAGAGTAAAATATAGCCTACAGCAATGGACAAAAATGTAATATTAGTTCAAATTTCAGTATTCGGAAATTTAAAAAGATATACCATTTTAAAACAAACGATGAAAATAATAATAGGCTAACTTAGATAAAACCTCCTCAAAGAATTAATTAGAATCAGACATATCTGAAGTATCGAACCTTTTATTTGATAAAGATACTGGTTAAAACCTTCGCCATGGCGACAATCTGGTCACACGAAGTATCAACAGTGATACATAGGCACAGAAAATTCAATATTTCTTGCCGTGCAACAGACGCATCTAAGGCGAACCCTTCTCGTTACCTTAATGCTCCACACGAGATGGTAATAAGCTAAGCATCCTGACCACTTACATAGGAAAGCAGCATCTCAACAGTGCGAAACCGTTTGTGTTCAACCTAAACTCCTACTCGATATCACTTGTAATACGTCACATTTATTTCGAAACTAAGAGGCTGAGACGGATAACACGTTCAACGCAAAGCACCAGAAACTGGGCTGGTGCATTTTCGTGCATTTTGGTGCACTGAACCCAGTTCAATGGAACACTTTTTCAAAAGCGACAATTGCTCAGTTGGTCAAGAAAACTGCCATCCTTAAGGAACCCAAAGGTTCAGTCACCCCTGGACCTCCCTGGATCCGCCTGGACTCCGTCTTCAGATAGATGAATTCAACCTTTATGGTATGCATTCTGTTGTGTGTCGTACGAAAGATGCATAATGAGGCAGCCTACAAAAGCATAATTCTGAAAGAGACAAAACAGACGCTACTGTGTCAACATTTGTTTTTATTAGCCATTGAAGAATTGTAAGCAGTATACTTGTTCGCATGAAAATGACCCACGAAAATGTTCTAAACTTGTAGCGTTGCTAATAAAAACAAACTTTGACACAGTAGCGTCTGTTTTGTCTCTTTCAGAATCAATGTTATCGCATTATATAACTTTCAGATGAATTCAGTTCATATCCTCTTTCATTATTTCTTTAAGAGCTGTTTTAATAATAGACTCCAAAGTACACCTAATTAACTAACTCCATGGAGCTGATCTCTTCTTGAGAAGCCGCCAGTTGCGCAGCTACTGCAGAATTTCCCAATATTTTATGACATCCGAAGGTTCATCTCCCTGCTCACAAGAGCCATCCACTGGTCCCTATCATGATCTAGATCAAGCCAGTCCATATGCTATCTCTCCCAGATTCATATTAATATAAACTTCCCACCTACTTCTAGATCTTCCTAGTGTTTTCTTTCCCACCAAAATCCTATCCAGAGTACACCTAGGTCTCTGAAATTTTCGAATCTCCTGACGTTTTCAAGCTATAAATTTTATACGAAATTATCATCTTCCTTCTGCGTATTTTATGTTCACCAATGTAACCCTCCTTCACTTCAACACGGATTGTCTCGCTATGTATGTAATTTCTCCATTCGCATGTCCCTCTGCAAACAGCTACCTAGACAGACGTAGTAAGCTATTGAAAATAACAATACGAATTTTCTCATATGTCCACACGAATCATAACTATAGACTGCCATACATATTGTAATATTCCAACAGCACTACGCCCTTACATGCATCTCGGGAGAGGGAAATGTAGAATTCAGTGTAAGATAAAGTTGCATAATCGTCTTTAAATATATATTTTAATCTTCTTTCTACATTTTTTCTTTAATTTTGGACGAATGCTGGAATTTGTGTCACTGCATGTGCATGCTGCCTATGCTGCCCGCGTCTCAATTTGAGCAACGGATTCCTGTACTTACATGCTCCACTTCTAGTGGTGAAGGTGCTCCAGTCAGAACCGTGTATACCCCAACATACGTGCGCCCGTAGCTACAGCCCTAGGCCTAATTCCATGATGTACATATCACGCGATGATGGGGGGGGGTCTGCGGTGTGTGAAGTTAAATCAATTCTACGACCAGGCATCGAATTTTATTTTGCCTTACACCAAGCAGTACTTACAAAGAGAGAAAAACTTCCAGGAGGAAGATATTAGAGCAGGCAGTAGCATGTAATGAAGATATTTAAAATGAAATATAAATCCAAATTTCGCCGCACTGAATGTTTATATAATTTAGTTCACACAGTGAATAGTCCGAAACGTTAGCGTATAATAGGACATATGCATTTGCAATATGAAGTGGAAATCTTAAATTGTGCTTAGTTTTTAAGTGGATAGAATTAAAGTTTCAACCCGAAAATAGACTGGACAAGATTCAGTTTGAGTAAAATATGCACTGATAATTCATCACAACACATTTTATTCTTAATAAAATGATTTATACTGCATTTAAAATTATAATGCTAACTATTGTACATAATTTTCTAAGGTAAAAAAGTGAAATTTACCTTAGGTTCAATCGATCAAGCACCATGCCATGAAGATACATTCAGGAATGGAGGTACAAGTCCACAATTATTAATCTTTACGCTACATTGGGGTGAATTGTCAGCTTCATGTCCCGGCCGCTTTACCCCAGGGAAAGGGACCCCGGTAACCATTCGAGTGGAGGCTGGGTAGAC